AGTACTTCGAAAAGAACTGGTTAAACAGGCTACCCTCGACATAGGCAAAAGAGCTTCAACCATGTCTGCTCCAAACTAGAGGCTTCGAAACACTCAGCCACCAAGCAAAACCTCCTAAGGTGCTCGCATATCACCACATAACGACTCACAAATCGAGGTTTTTATGAGACCATCGAAGAGTCAAGCAAACACAAATTTCAAAAAGTCCTTAACGAGGGAAAAATAAAGCCTATATTAGAGGTCATACGGACCCTAATACGTAAGAGCCTCTGTCGCCAGCCCATATAAAGGGTCGTGCCGACCCTAATGCGTAAGAACCACTGTCCCTAGCCCATATAAAGGGTCGTGCCGACCCTAATGCGTAAGAGCCACTGCCGCCAGCCCATATAAAGGGTTGTGCCGACCCTAATACGTAAGAGCCACTATCGCCAGCCCATATAAAGGGTCGTGCCAACCCTAATGCATAAGAGCCATCGTCGCCAGCCTATATTAAAGGTCGTACTGACCCTAATGTGTAAGAGCCATTGCCGCCAGCCCATATAAAGGTCGTACCAACCCAATGTGTAAGAACCATTACCGCCAGCCCATGTAAAGGGTCGTACCGACCTAATGCGTGAGAGCCTAAGGTTCAGCTTGAAATTCGCAAACTTGAGGGCCAATAAGCTCCAGTCAAATTTTGACTCGGAGACTAAGCCCGAACAGTTAACTAAAAAATGCCCTAGGGCACATACGTGAGAACCGCTATCGCCAGCTTATGTCAAAAGATCGTGCCGACCAAACGCGCAAAGGACTACGGGCTAGCTTAACAAGCCTCGGGGCCGAATTATATACCTAAGGGTCATTAATCGAAGTCCAGTTCACCTGGCTAATCATCAACTGGCATATAAATTCAAAACGAAGAAAGACATGCACAAGCAGAAGAAAATGCATGAAAGATGAAACCAAAGGTTTTCTTCTATGCGCGTACGCGACAAAATACAAAGGCTACATTGGCAAATGCTCTCTCAAAGCCCCATACAAAGAATCAAAAAGGAAAAAGCGTAGTCTACTTCTCCCTCGGGGATTGTGGACCGACGGCCCCCTTAGAAACTACACTTTCAATAGCTTCGGCCGTAACCTCTGGGTTCCGACGGCCTCCTCCCCTTCAGGGACTTCGCTTCCATCTTCATCGCCTCCCGAGTCACTACTCTACTCGTCTTCGGAAGGAAGCAGGGCCGCAGCTTCCTCTTCCAGGTTCTTCACCCTCTCAATTTTGGCAATTAAATCAATGCCCCCCGCATATATATCCTCGAGAGCCTGTCTCCGAGATTCTAACCAGGCATCCTCCACTGCTCGGGTCAGGCGTAGCTCAGCCTCTTCAAACACCTTCCGGGCATGAGCATTTGTAGTAGCAGCGTCCTCCTTATGCGATGTCACAAGCGCCTCGGCCTCAGCCCTGACTTCGGATAGCGTAGTAGCCAACGCAGTATGGAGATCCTTATATTTAATGCTCTCGGCCCTCGCATCTTCGAGGCAATGCCCAATAAAAATCACCTCTCCCTGGAGGGAATCTTTCTCAGAGATTGCCTCACTCTAATGCTGCTTAAGTTCGAGGATTTCAAAGTCCCTAGCTCGGAGCTCCTTCCCCATAAAAACATATTTCTCCTTAAACTGCAAAAATTGACCAAAAGATATTAAAACATTGAAGTCAGTTAAACATGCAGACAATAAACAAACGGGAATTATGTAACCTGTTCAGCAAGGCGAGCCTTTTCCCGGGACGCCGCCTCCAAGCAATCCCGAAGACCACGGAGTTCTTCCTCCCTCTTGGTAGAAAAAGCCATGAGCTCATCAGCTTCTGTGGTAAGCTTCTTATATTCGTCCTCGTGGCAAATCAGCTCGACTTCAAAATTGGCAAACGTTCGATTATAAAGCACCTTGGCCTGGAACCACAAAAGAAATAAGGTTAGTAGGGCAAAGGTCGAGGCACCAAGCAGAATTTACGAATAGATTACCTGATCACATAGCTTGTCAATCTCATTGAAAATGAGCGAAATGTCAGGTCCAGGCTTTTCCTCGGGCGCAGGAGAAGGTTTTTTAAAACATATTCTATCACCAACGGACGTCCCCACATCGAGAAACTCTGTATTTGGGGCATCTTGCGTCTCCCTTGAAGGAAAAGCCGATTCGTAGGGGAATCGCTTACTTCAACGACCTCGACCGAATCAATCGGGGCCGTCCCTTGCTTCAGAGGAGCTTCGGGATTAGGCTCCCCCGGATCGCCTACCGAGCTTACCTCGGCTCGAGGGTAATTTTGGCCGTCAACCGACTCGGCAGTACCGCCCGATACACCCTCGTAGGCCTCTTCAGCCCGAGGCGGGGCGACATCGGAACCAGGCCGCGACTCGAACGCCGTCAACTCAACAGTATGTGAAACAGTCAGATCCTCTCCCCATTCGGGTGCTATCAAGGGATCGTATTTCTTTCCGCCCTCAGCTTGAGGGCTCCCCGTCGCTTCTGAAATTAAAGCTATTGGATCATCCTTAGGACCTTCCACTCTGGTTCTCTTGGATTTCAGAGGATAAGTCGACGACCTCCCTTGTTTTTTCCTCTCTTCGTCGGGTTTCGAGGCATCCGCTTCACCAGGCAGAGTTTCTCTCATCAAGAACACCTCCCCCAGACCTGCCCAAATACACAAACGAGCACGAAGAATGAGAATACATTTAGCAGTAACTTTGGTAAAATTGAAACTACACCTAAAAATGAAGTCCCACCATGATCCTTTGCTTCCCATCGAGCCCTGGATAAATCACGCCACACGCGCTCGGCTTATGGGCAAATCGAGTCCAGTTTAGCTACCCAGCGTGAAAGGTTCCTAACCGCATCAGGGTACGCCGCAGCAGCTGTATCAGCGGAGGAGGTCAATTCATGAGGAAATACATCCGAAAAGAAAGAAACAGGCAGTTAGTTGAGTATGTCTACTTACGTTTCATGTTCCATCTTTCGATGAATGGCATCCTCTCTGCGGGGATCAAGTCCGAAGTCCTAACTCGAATGAATCGGCTCATCTACCACCCGTTCCTAACCTCGTCGGTACAAGCGAAGAGGGCCCTCGAGGCCCGACAGCGGAGCTTAATCAAGCCCCCACAAACAATTCGGGGACTATACATTCTGATCAAATGGTCAAGGGTGAAGGGCATCCCTTAATCATATTCGCATAATACCTGGTCATGTAAACTGTACGCCAGAATGACGGATGAATTTGGCCGAGTGTCACTTGATATCATTCGCAGAAGTCTAGGATCACGGGGTCTATCGAAGGTATGGATGGCACCGCCGGACCAAGGGTAAATGGGTAGGTATACACACTGAGGAAGTCGGCCTTATACGTCGTTACATCCTCGCCCAGAGAAGGAACCTCCACTAATACCACATCCCCCTAACGGTAGTCAATTTTCACACTTTAAAGGTCCGTTGTTAAATTGATATATCGAGACGTGGGCTCAAATCGCCCCGGCTTCGAGGAAGATCTTTCGACCTTAAAATCAGAGGTCGTCTCAAAGGCCTCCGGAACGCATTCTCCGGCACTAAAAGATGCCACTGCTTTACCCTCTGAGGGGAGCGCGAAGGAAAAAGGCTCATCTTCCTGAGGGATAGACATGGAAGTGTTTGACATTTTTGTAAGCGGGTCACAAAGAAGAAACAAAAAATCACACTTCAGGAAAGAACATAATAGAAAGGTAAGAAGGAAGAAAAACTCTGCGGGGAGCCTTATGATGCAGTAGAAAGGAAGGGACTAAGAAACGAGTATTTATAGAGGCCCAACATGTGCAGTTGGAACAGACTAAAGGGCAGCCAACCACTGTAATTAATTCAAAGGCTTCGAGGACTGTGTGGGCGCGACATTTAGAAGCCCAGTTTGTTTCATCAGTCACACGGCGGGGCGCAACTACTTGCTTCGATGAAAGCACCGGAGGGGCAAGATCTTGAGGTCGTTTCTCTTTGTTTTACTCTGAGAAACGCGGGGACTATCTGTATACGGCTAAAATCGGATAGACCGATTTCACGGTTGGCGAGGCATTGCACAATTTCATCTCGAAAGGTCCGAAGCATAACTCGGGGTTTGAAGTCTTCGAAGATTCTTCATGCCCTGTGTCGAGGCAGAACGAACTAATGGTTATCACAAGTAAGCGGGGAGTTACCAAGGAGCAGTATTTTGCTGACAATGTCTACACTAACAGTGACAGCTTGCATCAGGCTGATTGAGTGGCTGTACCTGTTACTTTATGTAATAATTACGCATATGTCATATTGAGATTTTCCCCTCATGTATAAAAGGGGACCCTTGCCACTTTGTAAAAGGGAGAGATTTGATACACAAAATACAATACACTACATTCAATACAAGAACATTCTCCGCTCGCTAGCTTGAACATATTCTCTTGGTTTCATTATTTACATTTATTACTTATATTCATTGTGTTCTATTAATTGTTCATCATTTATTGCTCATTATTGATCACAGAGAGCCTCAATCACAACTCTCATAACTGTTAATCCTTCATCGTTTGCCCTTAACCGGGCATCTGATTCGACCTTGAGGCCCCGTATACGCAAGCCCGAGGCCTCGATTCCCAACCATTTAGGCTCGATTATCAGCCATCTACAAGTTGTCATCTTAATTTCTAATCCTTCACTTGGCATATATTGTCTAACAACTAGCATAAAAATAAATCACATATTTTTAGAGCCACAAAATCAAATCTAATTGTTATTACCATTTTCAAGGTAAACACCTTGACCTTTCCCCGTTAAATATCCTCCCTTCAGGATTTACCCGGCGTCCATTACATTCATTGTACGATATTGGCTGTTGCCTGACTTGCCTTTTTCTTGCCTTCGATTTCACGTGTCATACTATCATTCGACCATCTGTTATAAACCAATTTTACCCCATACAGCGAGCTTGAGACCCAAGCGGGGGCAATAAGGTGGTGAGGACAGACATTTCAGCATTGACTGAAGTGAATGGTTAGGATAAGAGATAAGGTTCTCGTGGTGGTATGCAGTATTATTCCAGCAGTGTAATAATACTCCATATGTCTCTCCGTAGCGAGTTTGACTGAGTAGATGGGTGACGTTAAGGAGCACCTCCTGGGCTGGCTTCACAGAGCAGCGCGCCTCCAGCTGATGGCTTGTTCCTGTCAAAGACCAATTCCGTTACAGGCCAAATCACCACTAAGATGTCAGGGTTGTAATGCTTGGACCATCATCTTTTTATATTCGTCCTTTTTACTAATTCAGGTAAACTTTTTTGATATTCCGTTGTTGTTATTGAGAATTAACATGCGATAATATACAAAATATTTCACTTGCGACTTATAGATCAAGTTTAGATGTGAGGTGCCTTCACACACCTGTGAGGTGTCAAATTTTAGTCAAAGTGTGAATGAGAGTTAATTTTATCCATTGTCATTAAATTTTTGGGTTTGTTACCCAAAAGTCACTTTTTTTTGTTAGTAAAAATAATTTAACTTTGTGTTCATTCCACAAAAGTCATTTTTCTTTCTTTTGTTACACAAATATCATTTTACTTTGCTCTAGTTATCATAAAAGTCATATTTTTACTTGAAAAGTCTATTATGCCCTTGATATTATTATAAGCTTCATTTTTATGTAATACCTTCTATATTATGTACTATATACTCCCTCCGTTTCATATTAAATGAGGTACTTTCCTTTTTAGTTTGTTCCAAAATAAATGACACATTTCTAAATTTGGAAATAATTCAACTTTAAACTCCTCATTTACCCATTTTACCAAAGTCATGGCCCACAAAGCTTTACCCCTTAAGCTTTTGAGACCACAAATTTCAAAAGTTTTTTTTTTTTTTTAAACTCCGTGCCGAGTCAAACTACCTCATTTATTGAAACGGAGGGAGTAATATATTTTTACCTATGTATTTTATTTATAAATAAAATAACTTAATATTATTTTATTTATTATTTTTATAAAATTGGGAATCAAGGTAGTGATTGTCAGGATCATAAACCAATTCACCAAAATGTTGGAACTCGAAGCAATTAATGAAGCAGCCTTTGTTCCAGTACTGAATAAATCAACTTTCTGTATTGTCACATCCCAAATGAGTGGTAATAAGGGTGCTATGGTTCAGAAGAATGCCATTGTGATCAATGAAGGTGGGCTAGTTGTTTCCTCTCTTTCTCCTATTGTAACCAAAAGTCATCCGCAAGTGAATAACCAGTTACAAGTCTTTGGTGCGACAAATCAGGTAATGAGCAACATTTGTTTTTCTACAACCAGAAACGGATTTTTTGAGTTACAAGTTGATCAAGATGAAGAAGAAAATGGGAGAAGTAGGTTGCAAAAGTTTAATTAACACATGCAACGAAGTGTAATTTGAAGCTTAACTCTACGTTTAAGGTGTTAGACTAAAACACTTTCTGCAGTTGGGAGAACCAGGAGAATTCTTTTCTTTTCTTTTTTGGTTTATTAAACCAAGCAAAAATTTTCAAATTTGTCCTGAACTTTCATTTTACTTTTGCCTTTCCTAAGAAATTAATATTGACTCGTTGAAAAAAAACAGTAACTTAGAGTAGCAATCTATAAAAAAGCTATAACATGATGCTCATCCAGATCAAGCATTCACCTAGAACTAAAGCCAGAGATTGACTGAAACAACTTCCTCTGTTTACTTTCCCGTAGGCACCAATGTCCTGAATTTGAGTAGGAATACTCTGTTCATTTCTGAAGAAGTTCGTTGGATTCACTGCTGATTTCACTTTCACCAATCTATCAAAATTGTTCTTGAAATACATGGTCCCATATACCCTTCCTTCTTCCAAGCTACGTGGTCCTTGATCATTTGTGCCAATATCAAGATCCCTATAATTCAAATAGGCTTGTCTTGGATTTTTTGAAACAAATGGGGTCATAAAACCGTATAAATCTCTTATCTGTGTAAGGTACTCTTTTTCTGCAGCTGCTCCTTCTTCTTTCCAATTCACTGAGTACTGAATCTTGAATAGAATCCCTTCTCTGTGTGGAAATGGTGTTTCGTCTTCGCGAATTTCAGCCATTCTCCCTCCATAAGGATTGAAAACTAATCCCGCTTTCCCCAAAGAAATCATCTTTTGGAAAATTGACTCCAACCCATCTCTGGGAATTGGTTCTTGCACGTAATCCGATTTTCTTTTCAAGAAATTCAATGGATCCCCTGTTCTGTTCAACAAGGCAATTGGTTTTGTTGTGTTGTCGAAATTTGTCCATTGAAGCACCGAATCAATCCAGCTCATTTCGATACAATCTTGTTTTGTTAATCCTAAAGCTGGGAGTTCGTTGCTTACGAGTGATATCAATCTACTAGAATCACCAAGGAATAACGCTATGAACGTTATTCGTATCGACTTTTGTTGAGCGGTCTTCTTCCCCTTCACTTTTTTCTCTTTGTTTTTGACAGTGATGGGTTGCACAAGCAGTCTGATGAAAAGATCATTGTCAATTTTGTTAACAACATTCTGCCATTGGAGAACAGCGTCGGTAGCATTTTGGTCTAAAAACCTTTCGACTCTGAAATAAGCCACAGTTTGTGGGACTTGAACTAGTTGAATTTGAAAGGCTAAGATGACACCAAAACTAGCACCCCCACCTCCTTTAATTGCCCAAAATAGATCTTCACCCATAGCTTTCCTGTCCAAAATTCTACCATTAACATCCACTAGTCGAGCATCCAATACATTATCAACACTGAGTCCAAATTTCCTCAGCATATTCCCGTAACCACCACCGCTGACATGCCCACCAATACCAACAGTAGGACAAACACCCGCAGGAAAACCAAGAACGTTACTTTTTGTCCAAATGTTATAGTAGAGTTCCCCTAATGTAGCACCAGCTTGAACCCAAGCAGTATTATCATTAACATTTATGGAAATTGACCTGAGATTGAACATATCAAGCATTATAAAAGGGACATTAGAGATGTACGAAATTCCCTCATAATCATGTCCACCGCTACGGACTTTTAACTGTAAATTTGTCTCTTTGGTACAAAGAACAGTGCTGGAAACATGGGATTCTTCTGTAGGGGTGACGATGATAACCGGTTTGGAAGTTGCGGAGGAATTAAAAAACCGGCGGTTTCTGATATAGGCTTGTAAAATGGGGTTAAAAGAGGGATTATTTGGGGAATAGACGATTTTGGAGATTTCTTGTTGGGGAACTGATTTGGTTGTTAGGCAATTGACAAACGAGTCATAGATTGAGTCTGAGTTTCCATGAGAGAAGGAATTCCAGAAGATAAGAACAAGAAAAGCAAGAAGACAAGTAGACATAGTTGACGATTGAGACGCTTTATGGGTTTGGTATCTTTTGGGTTTTAGGGGAAAATGGCGTTATTTCGGCGGGTTTGTGTAATGATATCTATATTTGTCCATCTATATTTATATATCGTAACGATCTGATCGCTCGTTTTGCTTTCTAGATTCGTGTTTTCAAATAAAGACTCTTCGTATGTACTTTTACTATTTTATGACTTGCGGAGATGGTTGGTTTGGGTATGAATGGGTTCAGGTTGAAATCAGAATACTTAGTTCCTTAATAGCGGCCTAAGATGGCCAAGTTTGACTTGCGTCAACATTTTGAGTAAAAGGCCTCGGAACCGGGATTTGATGGTTCCAATAGGTTCGTATGCTGATTTTAGACTTGGGTGTGCGTTCGCATCGAGTTTCGGGTGATCCGGGAGCATTTCGGCGCTTAATGTTGAAAGTTGGTTCATTGAAAGTTTTCTAGTACTTTAAATTTGGTTTGGAGAAGTTTTTGGTGTTATTGAGGTCCATTTGGGAATCCGAGCTCTGGAATAGGTACGTATGGTGATTTATGACTTGTACGCAAAATTTGGTTTCAATCCGAGTTGTCTAAGTATGATTCGCGATGTGCAATCTTCCAGCGCGTTGGCCGCTTTGCCTTCGCAATCGCGAAGAAGGAAAAATCTGGGCAGTGTCTTTATTAAAACAGGACTTAGGTCATTTTCTCTAATTTTCATTTCCCTTGGCCGATTTTGGGGGTTCTTGAAGAGGGGTTTTTACCTAGCTATTGAAGGTTAGTGATTTCTATACTATATAAGTTAAATATATAGATTATGCGTAGATTTTAACACGTAATGTGAAAATTTAGGAGTTTGTTGAAAAACCTAGGTTTTTGATAAAAATGATATTAGACCACGAAGATGATTATGAAATTGGGTCGAAAATATATATTTGTATTCATGAGGTTATGCGTAACAATTATTTACAAAAAATTTAAGAATCGGGGTACATGGGCCTGTGAGTGAATTTTAGGAACCTTCCAAATTGGGTTGGGTAATTACTCTAATAGTTAAATTATGAAACTTTTGAGCAATTATTGATTAGTTTGTACAATCTTTGGCTAGTTTTGGATTGTTTGGCACCGACTTGAGGCTTTTAGTGAGATTTGTGGACCGGAAAGTGGACTTGAAAACGAGGTGAGTCTCTTGCCTAACCTTGTAAGAGGGAATTAACCCCATACGTGTTTAAAATTTTATTTGCTATTAATTATAGGAGCTACATACGTACGAAGTGATGAGATTCCGTGCGTGGCTAAAACATTATGTTATATCCGGACAGACATTGTTATACCCCATGTTTTCGTACGTGGAAGTATGCCCTAAGTAAATTGATGAAAGCTCGAAAATGAGATATTATTTCGTCGTAAGTTAATTGACCTAAGTTCGGAAATGAGATTATTTTAAAATTATAAGCATTTTGGAAGGTTACGTAGAATACTGATATGAGAATGGGCCAACAAATAGTTAGTAGTTGATTCAAGAAGAGCCTAGTTATGGCTAGACAAGAAGACACAGGCAAATCAGCAAATCATGCAAGATAAATATAGTAAACCCCAACAAAGAGAATTCAGCCTCGTAGTAATGTCATTATAATATTTGAGATGTATTCAAATAAGAGTCGGGGTAGTTAAAGGTACCATATGAGTGTTACGGAAATAAAAGAGAGTGCCACTGGGAAGACAATCAAAATATCAGTTCAGAAGCAACCCCACAAGCCCAATGGCGTGGAGATAAGTAACTACGGGTAATTATAGGCAAGGAAGAACATCGAAAATTCCATCAGGCGTACGATGTGATAAGCTCGCAGCCTTACAAGAGTCAGAGGATCCCTCCCCCCTCCTAAGTACTATAATGAAAGACTAGCTGAGGAAATAAGGAAGAAGGCTACAACCTAAGCACAATGACCTAAACAGAAAATGGTCTTATAACAACAGTCTCACAACAACATTGTATGCACTCCATAAGAAGGTGACGCCTATTGTGGCTAATGAACGGGAAGTAAAATCAGAAGTGATATTCAAGATCGTATGAGTTGTATGGAATTCCAATATACATGGGTACCAAGATAAGCTAAGTATGCACGCAAAAAAGGGGCAGAAAGACCAGGAAAAGTAATTGCTTACGTTTGAAGAAAGCTGAGATGGAACAAAAAGAATTATTCGATTCATGATCCAGAGTTAGTTACGTTATGAACTCACTTAAGAGTTTGGAGTTTTATATATGCAGCATATACAGTCGTAGAAGATTTCGGTATAAGTTGAAAGAAAGAATTGAGCCCAGGTCATAGACGAAGGATTGAATTATTAAAGGATTGTATCATGGATATTCCTCAGCGCCCATGAAAGGCTAAACGTAATAACTAATACCCTGAACCGCAGATTGGGAGGTAGCTTAACCCTACATAAAAGGATGATCAGAAGAAGGAGGAAACTAAAGAGTTGCAATCAATAAAGTAAATCAAGAATCTAATTATTGGACCCAGAAAATTATAGAAACCGTGATTGAGAACATTACATGATCACTCTTAATATCAGATGCACCAAAGGGATAGTACAACAACCATATTCTATAACGACTCTACGATAAAGCCAGTTAGAAAAATACCAGCCTCATAAGAATTCAGTATGGAGCTCTCACCGGATTGTATAGGCACCAGAGGTGTAAGTATTATAATAGAGCTTCAAGTTATGGACATGAATTATACCTATGTGAAAGGGAGGTCATGAAAGAGATAAAAGATACGATGCGAGATTTTAAGGTAAGTAAGGTAAAGGTGAACAACGTACAAGCTACTCAACGGCAGAAGATCATGAATAGTCCATGCTTCGGATAGAAGGCTAGAAGCACTAGGATTCAATATCCAGGAATGATAGCAGCGCCGTGGCGTACCTTCCAGCCTATGGTTTCTAAGTACCGAGAGATCTAGTTAAGAGAGTAAAGAAAAAGTCAGAGACGAAGTGATGTCTCGCTTGATGTTCCAGAATAACACAAGTAAACCTATGGTGCAAACAAGTTGAAGGAAGGCCGTGAATAGTATAAATAGATATGTATAGGTCCCAAGCTAAAGTATAGTAAAACGACAAAGTTTTATGACAGGAGTAAGGACGAGAAAGGG